ATATCTACTAAATATGATAACTGTACCTCCACTAATGATTGAAAATAATTCAACAATAGTAACAGAGTTAACTCTCTGAAGAGTAGTAAAGCTTAATGGTTATACTATTGAAGATACAGGGCAGAGATGGTAAACCATTTAGAGACAAATTCTCAAACTGCAACCCAAAATCCACTTACTTAATAGCAAAGTGCCAACACTGCAATTAAACCTGAACACTGAGGTTTTAGTTTAGGAAAAAACAACTCACACCTTAATATCTTTCGTGTTATAAGAAAAACAAATAACATGTGTGACTTAGGTTTGCCACCACTGATATAGAAGATTGGTAATGGGAGAATGCAAAAAGGAAAATTTGAAAAATTAAACAATGGTAGTTGAAGAGGAGACAGGGAAAAGGCAAAGGATCCTATTGTAGACTAGAAAGATTATTTATAGAATTAGGTAAAGGTAACAGGAAAAAATGAGAAATAGAATATAAAAGAAAAAAGGGAGAAAAAAGAAATAATATAGAGAATAAAAGATAAAAAAATAAAAGAAGAGAAAGGATCAAGGAGCAAGGAAATAGAAAAGAAAAAAAGAAGTAAAAAGAGTCAAAAAATTGTTTTTCTCTGTACAGTATTTTGAGTGAGTGGTGTCCTTTTGGGATCTACAGTTTTCTCTGCCTGGCCTTACAGACTGTAGGTTTGTGAGGTGTGCCCCCTATTCCAGAGACCCCTCTGTCTACCCTAGGCTGTGGCAATGTCTGTGCCAAGATGTGCCCTTACTCGCATTGGTGGATAGGGAAGGCAGTCAGACCTCAGATCTGTGCTGGATGTAGGCAATCAGGTAAGTAATTAGTGTTGACAGACACTTTCAGAGTCAGCTGTTTCTTTTTTTGAGACAGGGTCTTGCTGTGTAGTTAGGCTGGCCTTGAACTTACTATGGAGTCCAGGCTGGCCTCAAACTCATAGCGATCCTCTTGCATCAGCCTCCTAAGTGCTGGGATTACAGGAGTGCGCTAACATGCCCAGCCCCAGACTCAGCTGTTTCTGAGCACAACTCGAGCAGGGCCTGGCTTCTTAGCACGGGGTTGAGCCCTGTGTCCTTCTCAGTTTGAGTTTAAAGTTTTCAGGGGATCTTTTTTAGCTGGCTCCCTGTCTCTGCTGTCTCCGATGGCTGTCTCTCACCCAGTCAGTGTGTGGAAGGGTAGCATTGAAAGCCCTGAAGTAAAGTTGTTTTTCAGTTGTTTTGAGTCCGAGAATTAAATAATTAGCCCTTTCCCAAAATGGTGTCTGATCAAGCACTCTCTGGCAATATGGAGGGTTCCTGTGCTTGAATCCCTTTCTGGCTGTTACCTGCAGTGTGGAAGGAGACCTCTCGGAGCAAAACCCCATGCTGTATTTGTAGTTCACAAAGGCCATGGGCTCCACTGTCATTTCTTCCCAGGTTTCCCTCCCCATGAACCTGAAAAGCCAGGGAGAGAGTCCAAAGTGTTTCCTTCTTTTCTCTGCATTATGGACTGTCTTTCCAACTTCTCTATAGTTTCCAATATTTTCTGTCAGTTTCTTCCTTATTGCCAGTGACTTGCTTCTCTTATTTCTTTGACAAGTTATTTTCCAGTGTCTGGGTTCCAGATTTCAGAGAATGAATTTGGCTACCAATCACTACTCCACCATCTTCTTTCTCCTTAATCTTTATTTTACTATCTATCCCACTAGCATATAGCTTCACACACTTTGAACATCAAATTTTAGCCAGGTATGGTGCCGTGCACCTGTGATCCCACCACTTGGGAGCCTGAGTGTCATATAATTAAAATGCCAAGAGTACAGAACAAAGAAAGAATAATGAAAGCTGCATGAGAGAAGCACTAAGTCATTTACAAAGGCAGATATAATAGAATAATAGTAGATTTCTCATCAGAAACTGTAAAGGGGGTAGGAGAGCATGGAATGATGTATTTCAAGCCCTGAAGGAAAATAAATGCCAACCTGATAATTACTGTGTCTAGCAAAACTATCTTTTAGAAATGAAGGAGAAATAAAGAACTTCCGAGATAAGCATGAGCTAAGTCATGATCACTAAGCCAACATTTTAGAAATTAATTAAAGGAGCCATACACAGAGAAGAGCAAAGTAAACACAATCACGAAAGTATGGGAAATAATAAATCTCACTAGAAGAGTAGATAAGCAAATGAGAATTGAGAAGGAATCAAGCATTAGGCAGGCGTGGTGCCGTTGAGCCACATCCTGGGCCCACACAGATTGGATTTTAAAAAACAGCAGTAACTGGTTCTTGTTGGGCCACTTTTGCAGCAGCTTCTGAGTTCTTAGATGATTTGAAAATGGAAATACATCCGTAGGTGGTCCCGAGTGAGCAGGGTGTCCCAGAGTGCTCTTCTCAAAGCAAACTCTTTTGAACAAGTTTACACGTTTATTCCCTTGCCTGTAATGGTGAAGTCTTGCTGATTCCTGAATTTATCTAAAGGCACTTTCTTTTTGTGCCATTGTAAATACTTGGTTTCTTTGTAATTGTGCTAACCTCTTTAGCAACCACATCTCCATTGACCTCCAACCTTGCTTATGCTTTTTTCTTGCCAAATTGAAAGTTTTTCCACTCATTCTCTGCTTTTTGCTTGTGCTTCACACTATAAATCTAGCTAAAAGCCAATGGTACCCATGCTATAACCTGAATGTTGGGCTGCCTGGAAATTACCTTCATGTACTTATTAGTCCACCATCTTTAAACTCAGCCTCCCACAGTCTCAGGACAAGGACAAAATGTAGACAAGTTCTTTGCCAGAATGTTACATGAATGGCCCTTAGTCCAGTTCCCAAAAGAGTCTTCATTCTCATCTGAAACTTCATAAATATCTTTACTGTATACATTCCTATCAGCATTCTTATCTTCTCAGCTCCCACCAGAATTGTCCATTAACCTCTGCCTACAACATTACAAGGCACCTCTATCCCACTTCTCCAAACTTCTCCTGCAAAGGCTTCTGAACTGCATGGTCAAGTATAATCACAGCAGTGACCCCACTTTTCTGGTACCAGTTTTCTGTACTGGTCACTCTCCTGTTTTGGGGACGGACTACCTGACACCTACGACTTAAAGGAGGAGAGGTTTATTTTGGCTCATAGTGGAAGGGTGTGGTGGAGGAAAGCTGAACAGCTCATGGCATCTGGGAAGCAGAACAGGTTGGAGAGAGCTGGAGAGGAAAGGGCCAGGAGCCATTATAGTTTCCAATCACAAACCTATAACCCACTTCCTTCAAATAGGCCCCTCCTGATAGTCCATTTACCTATGGACTCATCATTGGGCGAACCTGTTGATGAGGCTCATTTCCTCACAATCCATTCACTTCCCCAGAGTCTCTTATTCCAATCAGGTTGATAGTATTAACCAGCTCAACCTAATAATTGTTCCTCTTCCCAGTTTTTCTCAGCACTTAGAATCTTTCAGCAAATGACTATAGAACACTGAATATATGCCAGGCCCTCTTCTGGGTACTTGGATATAGTAATAAGCACAATAGTTAAAAATCACTGTCCAAGCCAGATGTGGTGGTGCACATCTATGATCCCGGCACTCAGGAGACTGAGGCAGGAGGATTGCTGTGAGTTTGAGGCCAGCCTGGGCTACATAGTGAGTTCAAAGCTAGCCTAAAATACATAGTGAGATCCTGTCTCAAAAAAAAGCAACAAGCAAACAAAAAAAATCCCTGTCAAATGAGTGTACATTCTAGTTAGAGTGGCTAGAAACATACCTTGAGCTTGTCATGGTTATTTCCCATCCTCCGTTTTCTTTCGTGACTGGGTTTTATTTGTGTTCATATGACCAGTTGGGAATTTAGATGTGGTTGTCATGCTTGTGCTATTAAGTAATGCTGCGCTCTCACTCAAAACAATCTCCATTAAGCAAGAACAAGTATTCCAAAAGTATCATTTTAGGAACAAACAAATTGCGATTGCAAAATGGTTTTTCAGAAATTTAAAGAAAAATGTTTGATCACAGTTCATTTATGTCAGACTGAAAGTTTGTTTTTATTGTTAAAAGATGTCCTATATTTCAGTCTGGCTTATCTGGCTATTTCTTTAAGTGCTCAATTATAAGACAACAACATTATAAATTTTCTGGAGTTGGGGGAGGGCAAACTTTGCAGAAAATACCAAGAACATTTACTAGACAAGAACTTGTTTGCCATGAGTTCAAGGCCAGTCTAGGATACATAATGAGTTCAAGACCAGTCTGAACTACATAGCAAGAACCTGTGTCAAAAAAACAAAAAGAAACACAAAACAAGAAAAAGAACATGTTGTTGTATTTTAATAGCAGTATAACTTTCCTGTAATTTCTGATAGCTTTTATTCCGTAAGCCTTTACCATGTAGAGAATTTTAGAAATCTTAGCAATCTCTGTTGACGTATACTTTAATACTCAGTGTCTGATTAGTTGAATTTTGTGGTTATCTGAATTTTAAAGTATGTGGAGTATTCATTTTTCAAAATATGAGATAATAGAATTTAGACCATTAAAATATTACAAAGATTTCTAATTATTAGAAAAATGTCAGCAAATATCTATCAGGTGTTTAAGGAGGTGTGGTCCCTTTACATGCAGTCTTAATGCACCTACAATCCTGTGATGTAGTCATTGTTATTGTACTGTTACGTTTTATAATAGAGAAACTGGGAGAAGTGACTTGATCAGTATCACATGGTTGGTACAACTGATACTTGAACCAAAGAGTATGAGGCCAGAGCTCCCAACTACCTCCCTATACAACCTCTAGAATTTACACATAACTTGGTTAGATAATTTTAAAATGTATTGTAGATTTTACAGTGTTTCAGTATTGTGAGTTAATCAGTATGTGCAACTTTAACCTTAAAATAATTTTAAGCTTCATGGCTTTCGTTATTGAGCCATTCATTTTGGTTATCTTTATGCCTCAATGTTTTTGATAAAATACTTCCAAAAACTAATGACTGTTTCCCTTTTTCCTCTTGACAGCATTGGATTCAAAGGCTAACAATTTGTCCAGTCTGTCCAAGAAGTACCGCCAGGATGCGAAGTACTTGAACATGCGTTCCACTTATGCCAAACTTGCAGCTGTAGCTGTATTTTTCATTATGTTAATAGTGTATGTGCGGTTCTGGTGGCTGTGAAGTAACAAATACAGTTACTGGTAAGGGAGAACCTAGAACCTGGGAGATGTATGTTTTCAGGAAGCTGAGATCACAGGGATATGTATTAGAACCCAACTGTAACTTTTGCCTCCAAAGACCTTGAAAGAAAAGACACATCCTGAAAATGAAAGACCATGCCTCATTTAATGAAGCTTAACCCTATGTGGAAAGTCTCTTGGGGGCAGAAGCTTTCTCTGGGTGCTAAGCCTTATATGTTAGGGAACAGTAGATTGTTTTGTTTTTTCCCTCCCAGAAAGATTTTAAAACAGCACTGACTGGGGCATTCTGATCCCCTAATAGAGCCATCAATGCCGTGTAAGGTAACCAACCTGTGCTAGCACCATTCAGAAATTCCTTCAAAGAAGGTAGCCCTGTGGGAAGTTTTTTGACTTTAAGTAACATTCCTTTTGGTGGTGAGATTTGTGATTTTCAGTAATCAGTTTTTGATGGCCTTTCAAACCAGACTCCAAGTATGTGAAGGTTAATTGCTTTGCTGCACAGACCCTGTATATTGGCCCCTGGAGGAAGTAACCTTTTGTTGTTTTCCTTTTATGATATTTCGCTTATTTCCTAGTTGCTTTGGAGTTAAATAAATTATGTTAAGATGCTTTGAAATTATATAGCACTCCTTGATTAAGAAGCTGAAGTTTTGGGCCAGGGATTTAGCTCAGTGGTGCCGCCGCCTGCCTCGCAAGCGCAGGGTCCCGAGTTCAGTCCTCCGTATCAAAAAACAAAAAAAGAAGCTAAAGTTTTTTCTCATTTACTCTTTGAACAAAGAGACTTAAATTAGTTTGGGACATTATTAAATTTATTTCACAGTATTTGGTTTGTATTAATATAATAGCAAGTATAGCCTAGTGCAGCCAGAGGTCCATGACTAAATAAAAAGAAAGGCCCAGCTCAGAACTACAGTGTGTCACCCCTTATTCACTTTGTTCACTGCAGTCTTCCCCACTCTTTATTTTCCTTCTGCCACAGTTTGCTAACATTTAAAAAATTCCCATGCCCAGTAGTTTCACATCCCATAAATATCCTCACGATATTCTCAAATTTTAAAATGGACAATGTTCAGCTGTGTAGTTATTTAGATGTAAAACTTGCAGATCTTCTACTCAAACTAATGGCTTCATTTATCTAAGAAGTCTCTGAGAGCACTTCATTCCTGTTTCAGTTTATATAAATTCTCCAAGAATGTTCTAGAGATAACTCATTTACAGTGGTTTGCACTAACTAATAAAAGTACTTATGATTATTTTCCTTTTTTGCTCAGGGATAATAGGACTTTCCATTTACCTTCTGAGGTGGAGTTTTTTTTAATGGAGAGAATAGGTCTCTTGAATGCTATCACATTGGTCTACAGTGTATATAACCTGTAACTCCTACACATACCACAAATATTTCTTTAAATTGTATAAGGAAGATGAGCCAACTTCTTATTTCTGAACATCTTTGGAAAGATAACTAGTGGGCAACTTTATGACCCAGAGGAATAGGAATCATCAGAGCTGCAATCCTGATTCCTGGTAGGGAAAACAGTCTTATTTCCTTAAAACAAGGCAAGTAGAAATGCTTATTTTATTCCTTATAATTTACAAAACTAGAGTAATTTTTTTCTTTCTATTATGGACCTAAAATTTGCTCTTTGGACTTTTGTGCATGAAATCAGAGATTACTTTTTGTAGAGAATAAGTGCTTTTAAGTCCCTAAAAGGTTTATTCCTTAAGTGATGATATTGGCAGTAAAAGTTTTTGAAAGGCAGAGAACCTAAGTAGTGGCACCATGGCATCTGGTGCTTCTAGAGGAGTGAGGGTAGCAGCTCATTGTTGGGAGTTGCATGCTGCAGCCTGATGGTCAGCAACGAAATAAATATTTCTAGAATGTTCCCTTCAGTGTGAAGTTCTGTTACTTAGTTTACTTAAGTATGCGTATCCTTTATAAATGCATTTCTGCCTAATTTCAATGGGGTAATTGAAAAGAGGTAGTTTAAATGGTGAACAAGAGAGTGGTTTAAGATCAGGGCACTAGAAAGATTAGAGAATAAAGCCAATAGTACACCCCCTTCTGTTCTTAATAGGAAATGGCAAGACAGTCTAACTAGATGAAATATATCAGCAAACCAGACATCTAGAATAGAAGATGATAAGTACTATACGAAGTTATTAGAGGTACACTAAGAAAGGACACTCATTTCTATAGAAGGAGAAGAATGGGCCATTCTAGGCAGTATCAGTGGTATGTGTGAGGCATATGAAAAGAGTGAGGCACATTTTGGGAATGTAGCAGGTTGTTTCAGTTTAACTCAGGATAAGCAGAAGTGACTGAAGAGACTGGAAAAACTGGACTGGCGTACTCTAAAGGGGTTTGTCTACCAAGCTAAGGTGAAGACTTAGAGCTTCCTCTAATCATTTGGCCATAATATAAAAGATGAATTTGAAAGGGATAAATAAGATTGAAAGTAGGGAGATGAGCCAGGTTTGGTGGCACATGCCTATAATACCAACATTCAGGAGGCAGAGGCAGGAGGTGAGGCCAGCCTTAACTACAATAGTGAGTTCAAGGCCAACCTCAACTATATAATGAGACCCTATCTCAAAAAGTAAAAAAGTAGGGAGATGAAACTAAAGCCTTTAGACACAGAATTAAGCAGGGCAGTTTCAAGTGGCTTTCAAGAAAGGACTGATCAGAGGTACCAGATTCTTTTTAGGAGCTTACTTCTGACACCTTCTGGAGTGTGTTCGCACTATTATGTGAATAAAGAAACTCAATGGCGATAGAGCTCTGAGGCACAGGGAAGTTAAGGGATTTGCCCAAAGTCACAGACCTAGGAGCCAAGATTTGCACCTAGGCAGTTCGGCTCTGGTCTTTTTGTTTTTAACCACTATACCATGCAACCAAGCAATCAAATAAAATGTGTACTAAAAATATATTCTAAATTTAGCAAGCAGAAACTGGATCATGCAGGCAGAAGTAATTCTAGAGGGCTGGTAATAGAAGCCAGATCCAGTGGTATCTGGATCATAATTTATTGGACCATTAGAATTGAAGACAGAAGCACTCGCACAAGGAGCTTTCCTGTTCTCGTGACACTGGACTTTATGGCTTGTCTTATGAGGACATCTCACAAGTATCAAAATTTAGAAATATTTGGTACATTGTACATCATTTGGTCATTAAAATGTCTAATTTCTTAACTTTTTGAGGAATCTTTGAAAACCTGATGAAAGGGGTGTGCCTTCCCCCAGAGAAGTGTCTGTGTGTGTGTGCATCCCATGTGTATACCATTTCAAGCTATTCAAAGACAAAGCCTGCTCACCTACTCGTGGTCCCCGACCCTTCAGTTAAGAACTCCAGGTATATACGATGTGGGACTGAAATTTAAGTACCCAAAGGGCTCGAAAACTTGGTTGTGAGTTGGAAGAATTCTACAGTTTGAACAACTTTTTAAATGTGATGTATTGAAAAACTGTACAAAAGCATTTGTATCAAATAATATTTTCCTGTACTGCATTCAGAGACTTGGTTCTTCTGAAAAAGAAATTTTTGGTCCCAGTCACTTCAAATCTCATTTAAGGAGTTTGAGATTTATATTTTCCACTTTTGTCAGAAGTCTTTACAAAAGCAAGTTTAAAAAGAAAGTGTGTAGTCACTTTTGCTCATACAGGATTTAATAAAATATGTATAGTAAAACATCTCGCAATTTAAACTCCCACCTTGTTGGGTGTTTGCACCACTATTCCAGGGCCTGAGTGGGAGTGGTCACACAACTAAGGCAGACACATTGGAGGTACTCCGCAATTATCTGCAGGATGAATACACTGAATTATTTAAAAAATTATGCACACCACTTTTGGAAATAATACTTGGAATAAAAGAGAAAAACACCAAATGGATAGAATGGTATAGGCCTAGTGAAGGAATGGGGAAAAAAAGAGACATATATAAAAGAAGTCAGAACCAAAGAAAGGACCGATAAGATTATATAGTGAACACTTTGGAGATGAGGAAGGAAATACAGCAAATAAAGTTTTTTTAAGAAGAAACAGTTGAAAGGTAAGAGAACAAAGAAGGAAAGGAAGTAAAGACAAATTAAGAGAAAAAGCATAAAAATCAAATAGATTGGCAGATCTTAAGTCTGGGAATGTTTCTAGTTGACTATCATGCCGATAGTTGCTTTTATGTTGTATAGATGATATTTCATGATCTTTTCCTACCAACCAACTACTTATCCAATTTTTATGAAAAAGTGACTTCAGTTTAGTGATTAAATACTTTGACCAACATACCATATAAGATAAAACCATGTTAAAGTGAAAAAACTGGTCTGAGGCTTAGTTTTGACAGCAGTTTGCACCCGCTACACTACTCCCAGTTGTTCCTCTGCAGCTTGTGCAGGTGGACCTTGAGGTTCATTGGACCGGCCATGTAGGGACAGGCAGTTAGACCAATAAAAGGACTGACAATTTTATCTATTTGTATGCCTTTTTTAGCCACTTGCATTAATAGTGTGTTACACACTTAAAAGTTTAAAATAAAATACTTGGACTTTCTAATTGGTTTTTCCAATTTCTAATTTGGTTTTTCACTCTACTTTTTCTCCTCTATTTTTCTCAGTCTCAGTTTTCCCCAGCACCAGTTTGGACTTAAAAATATAAAAACTGCTTCCTAAATGGTCTTTTTATATATTTAAAAAATGGGCACTAAAGAACTTCAAGAATTTCTATGAGCTATAGCTCACCAACTTTCCATAAATATTGAAATCAATATATTTGTTTTTGCTATCATTACAATACAGCCTTATGAGATCATACACAAAGCTGCATTTCTTTTGGCACCGGGGATCGAACTCAGGACCTCGCACTTGTGTGTGTTTTTATGTACCAATTGAACACTGGTGTAAAATGGAAATTGCTGAAGAATGGTAAAGATTTATATGAAACAACCTGTTTACGTCATTTAGAGGAGTGAACGGATGGAGCATTGAACTACGGGTCAAGAGACATCTAGGTCCAGATCACTGCTCTGCTAGAAGGGCTTTAGATAAGTTCTTAGGCGCAGGGTGCCTTGGTTTGCCCACATGTAAAATGGGAGTGAAATCTGATCTGCCTGTTTCTTTTGGGCTCTTTGAGGAGAAAAGGAAATAGAAATGCAGTAATGGTTGTGAAGATCTTATAAACCTCCGAATGACCTATGACTGTTTAACTGCTCAAGGAAGGTATTTGTGACTAGTGCAGTTACAGTTCTACATACTCCTCTGGAAACTAGCACTCAGTTCCACAGTTAGTCTTCATAGGGGTACAGGCGTTAACAGTGTTTAGGATCCTTTAGCGTGGTCCATTTCTCTAGCCAGGACTTAATGTTCCCACAAGGGGGCAGCAAAACTCCAGTCCAAAGGCTCTGTTACTTCCTCAAGGCTTCCAAAGTTGTTGGTGAGAAAACAATTATACTATAAAGAGAATAGTCTTTTTAAAAATGATCTTTGGGCTAGGCATGGTGGCACATGCCTGTAATCCCAGCAGTTGGGAGGTTAAGGCCAGAGGATCGCTGTAAGTTCAAGGCCAGCCTGGGCTACATAGTGAGACCCTGTCTCAAAAAATAAAAAGATCTTTAGATGACAAAACTGAACTATCACATAATAAATACCACAGCCACCATCTACTTATTTCAAATAATATTTTGCTTTTATGTTACCTCTGAAGAAAATAGTCTCTTTAATCTTGCTTTAATGATTTAAACATTCAGAAAACTTTAGCCCTGGTTTCCCATTGTGTCACAGCACCAGTTTTTAAGTAATGGGTGGACAGTAAGAGGAAGGTGAGTTTCTTAGGCCCAGTTCTTCCAATTTAAGATGCTAAGTTCAAAGAATGATTCTTTTTTTTTTTTTTTTGGTACCAGGGATGGAACTCGGGTCCTCGCACTTGTGCAGCAGGCAGCGAAACCACTGAGCTAAATCCCCGGCCCTCAAAGAATGATTCTTAATAGCATCTATATATATCTTTTTGGTTCATTGTGTCTAGGCTTTTTTTTTTTTTGTTTTGGTACCAGGGATGGAACTCGGGTCCTCGCACTTGTGCAGCAGGCAGCGAAACCACTGAGCTAAATCCCCGGCCCTCAAAGAATGATTCTTAATAGCATCTATATATATCTTTGTGTCATATAGAGAAAGTGTTATCCATATCTAATCTTTTTTATTCATTCAGTATTTAAATTTGTCTTAAAATAGCCCTGTTCTTCTAAACCTTTAATCAGTGAGTCATCTTGTAATAACATCAGCAGTTGGCATCTGAACTATTCTTAATACCATAGAAAGACTGAAAACTATAGTGAATGTTTCATACAGTAAGACACATTGCCATTAATTCCTCTCAAAAATCCCTCACTTCAAACACATGTACCATTATTATTGCCGCTTTCTGAAGCACTTCTGGAAATCTGTCATGTCTTATTTGCAGTTCTGGCTGCCTCTATGTCCTGAATTGATTCAAAACCTTTACCTTTCATGGTCATTTTGACTTTGGGGAAGAACCAGAAGTTACATGGTCCCAGACCCAGTGAGTAAAGTAGATGAAGACACTAATGTTTTTATGAGCCTGCATTTAAGCTGAGTGACACTTGACAGTAGCATTCACCGTATTTTTTTAATCGCATCTTGTAAAGACACTGCTTTAGAAAGTGGCAAGAATGATGGGTTCTGTATGTTCAAAGTGAGGGGAAGTATTTTGAGGAGGATTAATGGTAATGTGTCTTTTACTCCAATAAATTTTTTTTTTTTTGGTACCGGGGATCAAACTCGAGTCCTTGTGCTTGCGTAGCAGGCGGCGAAACCACTGAACTAAATCCCTGGCCCTCCAATAAAATTTTTTACTTAAATATTCCCTGTCTATTTTGGTTACACTGTATATCACTTACTTTCAGACATTTATTTGATCCTCACTACAGCCCTGTGAGGTTGATAGCCACTATCCCAATTTTTCAAATAAATTTTCTCACCTGTAATCAGAATAGCTGCTGCTTGCTTGAAGAGAAAGTGCAGTGGGATGTCCCATACGTCAAGAGGGCCCCAAGTGTGAGTAATTTCTGCCTCTTAATCAGTGCCATAAGAGCCACTTCTGAGTTTGATGTTTTTTCTGTCTGCTGTATTACAAGAGATGGGATAGGAAGGCTTTCAGTTTTTCAATTCCTTCCACTTTTGCCGGTTCGTTTCTGGCTTTGCTCTTCTGAAAAAAAAAAAGTTACCCTGTTTTCCATTCCACCCCCTTTACCACCACCCCTAAGTCAGAGTCCTCTTTCCATTCCAGCTAAACCTCTTCCTGTTCTTGAGAATTGCATCACATTCTTGGCTGAATGTAGACCAACACCCCCACACTGGCACCAGGGAGCATATAGGCTTTCTTTATTGGTTGAATATTCCTGTCCGGTGAGTACAGAATAAGTCACTCACTTCCTGACCTCTAGCCCTGACTCTGGAAAAAATATATACATATTTCTGGGATTTTTGTTTATTTATAAATCCCCTTCACTCTAGCCCTTTTCTGGAGTAAGTAAGATAAATCAAGTAGGGACAGTGTGAAAGGGCATTTGGGATACAGAGTATATTGTGCACCTTGCTGAATGAGCCGTCTCCCTTGCTGTTTCTAATTCTTCATGCCTAATTTCGTTTTCAAACTAGTCTGATCAGGCATTAGCTCCCACTCTATTGAAAGGCCTTTCGTTAAGGACATTAATGCCACCCTCACCCCTGTATTACTAAATTCAGTCAATACATCAGCCTATATCTTTCTGATACCTGAGCACCATCTAATGCTACTGACCACATCCTCCTTGATGGACTCACTGTATTCCTTTGGTTTCCATGCACTATTTGTTTTCTACCTCGGCCATGGATCTTCAGTATCCTTTGCAAACTTCTTTTCTCTGTATACCTAGAAAGTGTTGAAATTCCCCCAAGCCCCTGTTCTATGTTGCCTCTTTTCCCTGACATTATGAGAAATCTCATCCTTTTCATGACATTGTAAGTGACACCTGTATGCCGATGACATCCAAGTCTGTACCTCCCCTGAACTCCAGGTTCATATATTCACCTGCTTCCTGGAATTTCTCCAACCAGGAATTCCTGAAACCATATTAACCAACTCATTTCCTCCAATACGTATATCCAAGTGTATGCCACACAGTCCACCAGCTACAATGGCCAGAAACCTAGCATTCATCCTTGATTACTCTTGCTCACGCTCCACATTCAGTCAGTCACTGAGGCAGTAGAATCTCCTTTGAGTCTTTCCCATTCTCATTGTCACCAACTAGCCAAAATGATCGACAGCTACGTGGGTTTTTACACTTTCTGTTGCTAGCTTACTGCCCACCATTTTTCTCCCTTTTGTTCATTTCTCACCGGCAATCAGGATATTTTCATATAAATGCCATTCTGATAGATTCATCCCTGCTATTTAAAACCTTTTAGTTACTTGCTTATATCCTCAGGACAGAATCCATACTTCTTACCTGGCTCATAAGCCCCTCATGATCAGCAGCCTCCCACGGTCTCTAATCAAACATACTAAGCTCTAGTGTCTCAGTGTACCCTGCTTCCTCTTGTTTCTAGGCTTTCACAAATACTATTCCCTTTGCCTCGAGTATTGTACTATAGGGGCCTCAAATTTATCCAGACTGAATTCTACCTCAAATTGTCATTCCTGAATGAGAATGGAATCTAGATACTAGATTTTTAACTAATTCTTGAATTAAAACCGTAATTTACATGAAAATGTATTTGAACTATTTAACGGGGCATTGACTTTTACCATACCTAAATGTAAACTGGAACATACTTTTTAAAATTCTACTGGAATGTTTTCTTGATTGTTATTCATCATGACATTCTGTCTTTGGAATTTCTTTTCATTTCCAGCTGGCTTCTACCACTCTCCTTTCTTACCTCTCAGCCCATACCCTCTGGTTGCCCTACACTTGCCCCTAGGTGAGTCCAGCTTACATGCTGTGGTAGCTGCTCTGAGACTGTGGTTAATTAGAACTGTTCAGACTGCAACAGGAAGGCACTGAATCGAAAGCAAAGAGGAGGAAGCACAAACCAATACCCACCACAAAGCTGCTGAGTGCCCAGCATGACCCAGGCTGCACCCTCTCATGGGGAGTCTAATGGAGAAGTAGGCAGCCATGGAGTTTGCTGCATTGTCTGCACAGCCTATTCATCCGCTTCCCATGATCCAGCCTTGCAGGGTCACCATGCACACCACCAGGTAGTAGCCTAGGTAGTGATGCTAACAGAAAAGCCACCAGAAATGTAGAGGCTGGGGGAAAGTCCCCAAGGGGAAGTAAATTCATCTTAGCTCCCTGCATAGTCCAACTCTGAGCATACAAACCCTAGAGTGTTTCTTAGGAGCTCCCTGCATGTGATAATTCCCACATGAATGCCCCTATGTTCTTCAAAAATACCTTTGCTGTCTGCCTGAAATCTTTTTTAAATGGTGGCCCAAACTTTCACTTTATAACCCAACAAAGACATATTTTCACTGGCTTTATAGTTTTTGCCACGCCACATGCGTGCGCGGGTGTGTTTTAGACAGGGTCTTCTAAATTTGCTAAATTGCCCAAAGTAGACTTAAACTTGCAATCCTCCTCTCTCAGCCTCCCAGGGTACTGGGGTTATAGGCATGGCCACCATGCCCAGCTTGTTCCCTTTTTCTCAAAGGAGATACTAATTCTTCACAGTTGAATTGTAGGAAATAGAATAAAATGTGTAGGAAAATACATAGTCTAGACTTTAAACGCGTGGAAGGTTGGGAACTCCCCAGTATAGAGACGCACGGTGGCTGTATAACTCACCTCCCCAAGTTCACTACCTCAGACTCTGAGGAGGTGAGAGCCGGGTGCTAATCCATGGCCCTGGAGCTAGAACACGTGGAACAGAGTCAGCCATCTCACTCTCGAGAAAAGGTTGCTTGGCTTGGCTGGAAGTGGGCACTTGCATTTTCACAGAGTGCCAAGCTCACACTTGAGATAACAGAACAGGAAATATTGTTTGTGCAGCTGGGAGGGGAGGGAGAACTTACTGTGTACCAAGCCCATTCAGTTCCTCACTCACCTCTTTGCACCATACTTTCTGTCCTGCAAGTGAGCAGCGCTGACTCTGGGAGTACTGGGAAGTAGATGAAGCCTGCCTTCAGGCCCACCCCCTTCCCTGGCAGCATTCTCTCCACTTGCGTTCCGCTTCCGTGGTCTCAACCCAGAAGATCTTCCAAGGTCTAGATCATAACTGAAGCTTAATTGGAGAAATTTTAGGCATTGTAACAGAAGGTGAGGGAAACAATTCTGGAGTAGAGCGGAACCGTTTCTCACAGGCCTCTCTTCACAAGTGGTAAAAATGTGCTCTTGGTTTTAGCAACCCCGATAGCAGTGAACTGGAAAGGATCTAATAAATGAGAAAGAATGGAATTTGTAGACAGGTAACTTGGATTTAAAACCTTTCTTCCTCTCTCCGTGTCTCCCTCCCTCCTATCCTCCTTCTCACCCATCCTCTTTCCCTCCCATCCTCCCTCTTTTCCTTCCTCCCTGCCTGTCTCTCTCTCTCCTTCCCTTCCTCTCTGACTTCCCTTCCGAGAGGAGGGAGTGGGAATGGGAAGCACAGGGGAATGCGCAAGTTTCCCAAGTCTGGATGCCTGCCAGAGTTTGCCTCTTTCTTCAGTGGTCAAGGACATTCACGCTGTTTGTAATACTTATGCATGATCCAAATACAGGAGTTGCATGACTGCACTCCCCAGGTGTGCATTTTCCACTTGTGACCTGAGTACATTACATTCTTTTAACATGGAAAATTAATGATATGACTATAGGAAAAAAAAGAGGGTAAGCTACTCTTTGAAAAATCTTAGTTATGAAAGAAGAGAGAGGTTGGATTTCATTTTAAAGAAAGGTTTGAGTACTGTATGTTTATTTACTTGAAGAGAGACGGCATAGTGAGAGATCTTAACAAGTCACCTCCTACCTAAGCTTTAAACCCTCATCTAGAGACGGAGAAGTTTCTATGAAGATTCAAATTAAATTAAAATGATATGCACAGAAGTGACATGTATCCTGAGGAGGCTTTTGCACATTTATATTAGAGTTTGTAATTTATTATCTAGTGACTGTACAGATGAGTAAGCCCTGGTCACAGCTGTTCTGTCTTTGTTCTACCCAGCATGACTGGGTCACAGAAAGAGGCCAGCTTGAGTGGGAGAGCCCAAGACACACAAGAAGAGCCTGATCGCAGTATGATCATCTTGACATACTTGGAACTTTCAGGAGATGATGATGATAATGTGCGTGTCTTACCAGATACATCGAATCACCACTGTATTATTTAATTTGCCCTGTGTATTTATTTTTTAATTTTTATTTAAAAAACAGGACACATGTCAGATCCAACATGTCTAAAAAACGAATTTAGGGAACATTTTTAGAAATTAAAACTTACCCCATGAAAAATATCCATCTTGAGCACCAAGGGGCTGTACAAATAAGATCCTAGACATGAGCTTCTGCTTAGGCCAAGGAACACTTTCTTAGAAAGTTACCGCAGGATAATCTCTTGGCTCTTGGCCAAAGTGCTGTACCATTTTGCTTGCATATAAATTCAGCAGCCGCAGCCAACTCCTTTTTCCGATTGGCTGCAGTGCATGCACTCTTACTGAATGAGCCTGCGAGCCGCACATAACCTTGCACATTCACGCACCAGTGAGGCCTTTCTCCTCTCAACATTGGCTTTGTGGCCTTGGGCTTCACTGGCCCACTCCCGACCCTACACAGTTCCGGTAGAGAAGCCTGATGACTCCACTCCCCATTTCCTCCCCTTCTCACACCTGGTTTTCCAGTCTTGAGATGATTTGTGACTCTATGTCTGGCCGCATCTCTTCTGTTCTTTAGTTCCATTCTCCACCCCTGCTTCCACCTTCCTCCTTCCCTGCGCCTTCTCTGTTTCCAATTTTTATTACTCGCAATCGCTTAGGCCAATCCTGTGTCATGCCCCTTCATGCCATAATGAGAACATTTTTTAAGGGCAGTGAACCAAACAATCTGGTGTCTTTTCAAGAATGCATAAGAACCTGCTTTTTTAAAACATATGTACTGAGATATAATTTATAAGGTTCCCATTTCAATCATATCATTAGTTTTTAATATGTTTAGAGCTGTTCATCCATCACCACAATTCATTTTTGAATATTTTCTTCATCCTCAAAAGAAATTTTGTATCTGTTAGCAGCCACTCATCATTTCCACCCCTCATCTATCCCTTTGCTACCCCTAGTCCTAGGCAACCGCTACTCTACTTTCTGTTTCTGAGAATCTGCCTATCCCAGGCATTTTATATGAGTGGCATCACAGAATACGTGGTCTTTTGCAACTTTCATCTAATGTATGTTTTTGAGATTCATACAAATTGTAGAATCTATCTGTATTCTATTCCTTTTTATTGCTAAATAATATTCCATTGGATGGATATATCAGATTTATCCTTTTATCAGATATCTAGGTTGTGTCCCTTTTGGGCTAATATGAATAAAGTTTCTGTGAATATTTGTGTGGACATATGTTCATTGCTTTTGGATAGATACATGGGGCTAGAATGCTGGTTCATACAGTAACTCTACTTTTAGCACTTCCAAGGATGGTCAGACTTTCTCAAAGTGGATATACCATTTTGCTTTCCCACCAGAAGCATATGAAGTTTCCAGTTTCTTCCAGTTTCTTTGACAGTTGTTAATCTCTTTGTTTTTATTACAGTTGTCCTGTCCTAGTGGGTGAAAAATGGTATCATTATATTTACTTCAAGACTTTTCATGTGCTTTTTAACCATTTATATAATTTATTTAGAAAATAAATAGTAATCTCTTGCTCATTTCATTGGTTAGTTTTGTGATGTTGGGGATCAAACGCAGTACCTCAAGCATGCTAAGCTAGCACTTTACCACTGAACTATATCTCCAAGCCAGTTGTCCATTTTTAACTAGAATTATTTACATTTTTATTATTGAGTTTTTTACATTCTAGATGGAAGTCCTTTTTCAGACATGACTTGCAGATATTTTCTTCTATGAGTCATCTCTTCCCTTTCTTGATGGTCTTCTTTAAAACATAAAAGTTTTTAATTTTAGTGAATCTACTGTTTTTCTTCTCTTTTATCACTTACGATTTTGGTGTTGTATCTAAGAAGTCACTGTCTACCTCAAGATCACAGAGTTGCTACCTAACGCAAAGTTACAAAGATTTAATATTCTTCTAAAAGTTTTATAGTTTTAGCTCTGACATTTAGGTCTATTATAAACTTGTAGTGAATTACTTTGTGTATATTGAGCAGCAGTCCAAATTGATTCTTTTGTATAAATTTGTATACATTTGTCCTGCAGTTTATTGAAAAGGTCATTTTTTCCTCATCAAATTGTCTTGGCTTTTTGGTCAAAAAGCAAATTGACCATAACATTAGTTTGTGATTCTCTATTCTGTTCTATGGGTCTGTGTCTATATATGTCAGCGTCATGCCGTCTTGACTGCTGTAGTTTTGCACTACATTTTGAATCCAGCAAGTATTAGCCCACCAAATTTGTTCTTTTTCAAGATTTTTTGGTTATTCTGAGTCCCTCGAATTTCCATATGAATTTCAGGATCAGCCGAAAATGATAGGTGGATCCTAAAATACATGAAAATGCCCTCACTTCCAATAAACAATTGAAATATTTTCTTTCATACCTCGGATAAAATTGGATAAGGCATATTGAGCAGGGACACTTTGTAGTTCAAGGGGGTGATAGGTCCTTTGAAAAGAGGACCACACGAATGAAAGATGGGAAGGATGAGAATAAAGGAGCCAAAAAGTTTGGTAAACTTTACGCCCTGGTGAGAAGAATGTTTGTTCAGAGGGGGAGGCAGTTTGATCTAGCACCAGGGGATATTGTGAAAGATAATTGCAACTGCGGAGTCCATTGATCTTCCCAGAAGGAGAAAGGAAAAAAAGATCTCTAAGCAGTATTGTTAGTTTGTTGATTCTTACAGAAGATCCTCACTCAATCACAGGAAACAGCTGGCCCTTTCTCAGGGCTGCAAGGCAAGGAGAAGAATGAAGGAAGAGAAGAAATTCCTCCCCCTGGTACTGGTGATTGCTTACCTCTCTGAGGACAGCCTAACCTTTATCCATCTTTGTTATCCATCCCCTTTGTAAGTCCTCCAAAGAGAGAGAGAAGAGAGGGAAAAAAGAAAACCATAGTAGAAGAGAATTAATAGATCCTGGCGATAGGACAGGAATTCTGGAGCATTTAAAATTAAAATCCCTAAGCTACTGCTGGTGGAGCCCATTATATACAGTAATATGACAGTAGGTAGCAAGAGTCACAAGGATGATCACATTATTTGATTTAGTAATTCAACTCCTGAGAATTTATCCTAAGGACATAAAACATGCAAAAATATTAGTGTAAATGTCAAATGAGCATATTATCTGTAATAGTGCAAGCTGAAATAACTTAAATCTCCAAAATAGGAGCATGTTTTATGATATCATGGTATGTAAAGACGGTAGAATAGCAGGATGGCTTCACTGTGAAAATACACCTTGAATTGTAGCACTTTTCAATGTATTCTCTGCTACCCCAGGCCCAAGTCACCAGCCTCTCTCACCGACATGGTTGCAGTATCCAACTGCAGTTTCTGCTTTCACATTAGCTCCCCACCCCTAGTCTACTCTGCACACTTAGTAATTCTTCAGAAAACTTAAATGTGTCTGCTTTCTACTCAAAAGCTTCAGCAGCTCCCCTCGAATTCGGCCTTGCATTCATCCCAGGCCCGCTTCATCTGGTCTCCATTACCTCGCTGACCTCATCCGGTAGTACTTTTCCTCCTGCTCTCTCCACTTTGGACATACAGGCCTCCTCCTACCCCGGTGACTTGGTGACTTGGAACTCACTCTTTCCTCTGGCTCAAACTCTTTTCCAGGTATCTGTTTTTCTGCCTCATCACCTTCAGATCTTTGTGGAAATGTGGTGGACGACACTTTCCCTAATCATCCTATTTGAAATGGCTCTCTTCCCCCGGCCCCAACTCCCAGGATTCCCTACGCCCCTTCCTTGCTTTATTCTCCCACTGCACCTCCCACTTCATCTGTCTCACGCATTTGGGTTGTTTTCTGCTCCTCCCCCTGAAGTCTGTCTTCTGTGAGAACAGGGTTTCTAAATGTGGTTTACTACTGTATCCTCAGTATCTCAACTGTCGCACAGAGGAGTTTTTAATAAATACTTATGAAAGAAATGGATAAACATGACAATATGATACTCGGCCATAATCTTGAAAGCAGAAAAGTGTATAAAGAGAGACTGCACAGTGGCCACGGCAGTGCAGTGTCCTGCAATGTGGGAGCAGCACGGGGGAGAGGTCTGGATATGAATCCTGACCTCACCTCTTTCTGGTTGGATGAACTCAGGCCAAGGTTGGGTTGGGCAAATGTAACTGACCTCTCAGTTTTATCATCCACAAAAGGGGGATAAAATGCCTCCCTTATAGTAGTGTTGCAAAAACTAAATGAGAAATGCATGCTAACACCTGGTAGGTGTTCTGTGAACATTAAATCTCTTTTTTGTCCTAAGGAATACATATCCAGTGGATAAAAACCGCGCAAGTGGAAATACATGGGTGTTTCAAATAGAAATACACTTTTATAATTTGCCTTTCTAATATACAAGTCATTCCTAAGCACAGATGCCTGGAGAGTGTGCTAGACTGGGACTAAGGAGACCTCTGACCCTTACAGGCTATGTGACATCAAGCAAGTCCTAACCTCTTTGGACCTCTCTTCCCACTGGTAAAATGCAGAGGTTGAATTCAGTAACTTTCAGTCCATCGGTGCTTACAATCTCATAATTCAAAAAAGCAGGCCATTCCAGCTGGTTTCACCCCACTTCAGCCCAGCCTTCCTCGGATGTGCAGGACAGATGTTTCTAACCTCGATATAAAAGGCTCTCTCCTTTGGCATTTAGAGGCCAAAAGAAACTGAGGAATCTAGAAAAAGTACTAAGAAGTTGAGCTTTTATTCTCCCTGATTCTTAACTAGCTACATGGGTATTGTTCAAACTTTAGAAAACGCGAAAAGGGAAACAAATGCTATCCGCCTCTGCATTTGAGTCAGCTGTGTGGATCTTTAGCCATGAAGGAAAATGTGTTTTGTTTTTTAGGTAACGACTAAAACGTAGATGTCAGCAGTTCTCAGCGGTAACTGTAACCTTGAACCTCTGTGGCTGCGCGCCTAAGCAGCACAGGAGGGAATGGCGGGAAAGGAATACGGCCTGCCTGCGCGTTCCCTCGCTCTGGAAAGCGCCCTGGCTTTGTCTTCTTCACTTTGCTACACCAGGAGGAGGATGTTTGGGTTTGCAGGCCGCTGGCTACCGTCAGCAAGTTTGCAGCCCTGGCTTCACTTCCCTGAAAGGGGTGGGGGCGGGGTGTCAGCTGCCTGGCCTCCCTCCAGCAACGGAGCAGCGGCGGATTCCAATACCCGGTCGGTTGCAAGGCCCTGACTTTACCCAGATGAAAACTGACGATCTCATCTGGGAAGGGTCAGCTCAAAAATGACAGAACTGCCCAAAGTAAACAGAGGGAAGAACCACAACAGAAACTTTCTCTGCAATGTTTCTTTATAATTACCAGCCCATCCCACCAGGGCTCTGGCTGAGGTCCCCATCCACCCTCTCTGCCGCCCCCACCAGGCCTTAAGTAAGCCCTAGCTGACCCGAGGACGGCCTCCGCGTCCACGCGTCTGTCCTGCTCTTTCCCCGGAGTGCAGGACTCTCCAAACTGCAGAGCATTTTGCAACTGGAGTTTGAAGACTGTCAGGGAGGAAGACTTTTTAGAACTCACTTATTCGGATGCCATAATAGAGAGTAAACTCAGCCTACACAATGTGTCCAAAGTCAAGAGCAAGTCTGAGGCAGAACTGGTTTCCGTCTTCCTAACCTAGGGCTCCTTCCAGACTGCCAGACTCTTGTAAGAGACTAAAAATAAGGAAGTTAACTCCGAAGTTCTCTTTCTCCTCCTTTTTATTCTAACCAAATCCTACTCTGTTGACCTTTAGGGTTGTGTGGAAAAACACATTTTAAATTTAGACTTGAGCTTTCAGAAGGCTGAGATAGGAGGATCGCCACAAGTTCAAGCCCAGCCTGGGCTACATAGAGTTCCAGCCTATGTGCTTTACTTCAGCATTCACAAAGTGTGGTCATGTTATCTCTTTGCTCCTCCCTTTAGCATCCTGAAGTCAGCAACCAAGTAGACTGGGAAGCACAAGGGCCTTCAAGCCCAGCCAAGCCTCAGGATCCTATCTCTACACAGGAGAGCTGTGTGGACTTGTTGTACAAGCAAATTATGTACTCTAAGTCTTGGTTTCCACATCTGTAAAATGGGATCATAGCATCTATTTCATTATATTGTCATGAGGATTTCACGAGTTGATTCACATAATGCACTTATTAGTACCGTGAAAAATTTCACAAAAGTTAGAAATTTTTTTTTTTTTTTGGTACCGGGGATCGAACTTGGGTCCTTCCGCTTGCAAGGCAAGAGGCAGAACCACTGAGCTAAATCCCCAGCCATTTGTAATGTAATTTTATAAAAGTGTTGGGAAACAATTCTCAAGAAATTTTTTTTTTTTTTGGTACCGGGGATCGAACTTGGGTCCTTCCGCTTGCAAGGCAAGAGGCAGAACCACTGAGCTAAATCCCCAGCCCTGTTAGAAATTTTCAATAGTCCTGGAAGTCATTTATTGCTCCCTTTCTACAGATGAGAAAATTAAGGCTTAGAGAGGTCAGAGGCTATGGTCATACAATTGGTTAGTAGGATAGGCAGAATTCAGGTTGAAAGTGACTATGGGCCAGGGGTCAGTGTGTCTGTCCGCATCATCACGAGTGGCAAGTTATTTATTAATCCTTCACATGCTGAAGATGCCAGGAAATGGATGCCTCAGGGGTGAGGTAGGCTGCTCATGTGGAGCCTTGTAGTCAAGCAGCCTTTGCCCAGTTATCAGCCAAAGATATCAAGGCTGGTTCTAATCTGGGGCCTCAGACCGTGGATGCTGGGCCCAGGGGATCGATGTGAGGTCCTTGAATAATCCCAGCCATTTTTTTCCTGAAGTATGCTTCCGTGATGCTTTAAGAATGCTTTGCTTTCCTTAATATTTGAGCCCTTGGGCTGGGGATTTAGCTCAGTGGCGCTGTGCCTGCCTTGCAAGCTCAAGGTCCTGAGTTTGACTCCTGGTACTGCAACACACACACACACACACACAAATAAATACTCGAGCCCTGTACACTCTCTTTTATGTTACAGTGTTTGGGAAGGATTCCATCTGATTCCCCGGTAGAAGAAGTGAGCTCTAAAATAAGGTGCCCAAAATGTCACATTGAGGTATGGAAAGAAAATATGTGAACATTTGCTTCTATCTGTTTTTAATCTAAGGTACTGAAAACATTCAGCTTTACTAATATTTTAAAAATTAGTAGAGTATATAATTTATAGTAAATATGCAGTGATTGGGAATATATGCTCGGTGTTTTGTTTTGTAGTCCTCGGATTGAACCCAGGACTAAGAGCATGCTAGGCAAGCACTGTACCCTGAGCTACATACCAGCACTTTTAACAGGGTTTCACTAAGTTGCCCAGGCTGAGCTTGAATTTGTAATCCTCCTGCCTCAGTCTCCTGAGTAGCCACAATTGTGGGCATGTGCCACCCAGCCCAGCTTTGTTTTGCTTTTCTGTTTCGATTTTATGGAGTGTCATGATTAAAAGAATCTACAGGAAACTTGCAGAAGGTAAGCTCTACTGCTTAATTTGTCCTAATTTGCATCCTACCACCACCCCATTATCTAGTACTGACCGTTCCCTACTTAAATGAATGTGGCATCTATGTGAACTTGGGTTTGGTTTTTCCCTCCTCAGATGGATATATGATATAATACCATGTCTTGTCCAATATTCTGCCAAGACGTGACCCAATAATAAAGCTGTGAGGGGGCCGGGGATTTAGCTCAGTGGTTCCACCGCCTGCCTGGCAAGCACAAGGTCCCGAGTTCAATCCCTGGTACCAAAAAATAAATAAATAAAGCTGTGCTTGAGAAGTTAAAAAGGGCAAATTGCTGTGAAAATATTGAAAAGTGTAAGATTCACAGGCTCCAAGAATATGGATAATGTATTCAATAAGGCACCCACTAGGCAAAAGAAAAGGCAAAAGTAGAACTTCAGGGAATGACTCCCGGACACAAGAGTAGCACACAGCTCTGCCATCTGAGAGATCAAGTGGAGTCATTCAGACCAAGCACTGCCTCTTCCTCCCTCTGAGATTTGCACAAAACAACGCAACACCAAGCAACGAGCCAGGGTCTCAAGGAAGGAAGCCTCACACCACTGTGCTCCCGCCCAGGTGATCTTGGACAAGGCCCTTAACTGTCCCCGTCTGCTTACTCTCACCTCCAGGAAAACAGCTCCTCACCTAATTTTGGAACTTCCTTCATGCCCGGAAGCAAGCTTGATCCTAGATGAAGTTGGCAGTGTTCCACATGAAGCAGTCTATACCTGAGTGGTCAGTGGACAAGGAAATAGCAGATTATCACCAGGCTTTCCATGGTTCACAGCATCCACTCCCCAGGCACTTGGTCTCCTGTGGGCCTGGAATGTGTTCTGACGCAGCCACTTCAAGTGTCAGCTAAGCCCATAAGGTGCACAGAGTGTGGAAGTGAGTAAACAGGAGTATGTGCATGTTATGTGTACATCTATAAAGAAATACAGATGTATATGTACATGTAGGAAACAGTCTGAAAGGTACCACCATACTAGAAAAGCAGCGGGGAGGGCAGTGATTTTACCATTTACTTTAAATTCTTCTACCTTGTTCACTTGTTTTTAATTATTGTTTTAGTAATTAAAAATAAAATTATTTATTTATTTATTTTTCGGTATCAGGGATCCAACTCAGGACCTTGCATTTACCAGGCAGGCACAACACCACTGAGCTACATCCCTGGCCCAAATTATTTTCAAAATAAGCATTAAAGTGCAACCACTGTGGAAATCAGTGTGGAGATTTCTCAAAGAACTAAAACTAGAGATTCCATTTGACCCAGCTATTCACCTTCTTGGTATCTTCCTGAAAGAATTAAAAGCATCATACCACAGTGATATATGTGAACCCCTGTTTATGGCAGCACAGTTTGTAATAGCTAAAGCTTGGAAACAGCCCAAATGCCCATCAAATGATGAGTGGATAAAGAAGATGTGGCTTTTGGGCTGGGGATTTAGCTCAGTGGTTCCGGCACCTGCCTCGCAAGTGCAAGGTCCCAAGTTCAATCCCTGGTACCAAAAAAAAAAAAAGAAGAAGATGTGGCTTTTGATACAATGGAGTACTACTCTGCCATAAAGGAGGATGAGCTTCAGACTTCTATAGCTAAATGGATGCACCTTGAGACCATACTCTTAAGTGAAATAAATCAGACACACATGTTTAAATGCCACATTGTTTCTCTGGTGTGAGAAACTGTGGAAATAAGGACTGAGATGTATAATGGATGTTGGGAAATAGGAAGAAAATGTTCAAATGGGAAGGGGAACAAGGGAGGAGGAGGGAGGGAGAAAGGAAGGAAAGGACAAGAAAAAAAGTGAAAATGGAAACAAAGCTTTTGTACATAGGGAGGGGAGCGGGCTTGAGGGGGGAAAGGGATAAAATACAATAAAATTTATTTTTAAATATTATTTAAGGGTAAAGTAAAAAAAAAATAAAACGAGCATTAAAGTTTGCCATCAGGTGCTTCAAGAAAAGGATCCACTAGAGCCTTTGCCACAGCGCCAGTGTGACCTGCAGATTCTGGGCACGATAGGGAAGCCCTGCTCACAGCATCTGAAACCCTCAGGGTTGCCCCAGCAACTGCAGTTTTTCCAAATTTCAATTTGGTTTTCTCCTCCACGCTTTTGAAGGAAATGATTTACAGGGACCTTTCTGCTCTGAAGACCTATGATTCCAAATAATGTTTCATGCAGAAGACCCAGATAGGGAAAGCAAGTATGTCATATGGAAGTTTCGTACTTTTCCCCCCTAGCAAAGTAAAACTTGATGTGAAACTCCCTCTATCTTCCCTATTTTCACCTCTCTTTCTTTCCTTCTCCTCCACTTCCCCCACCCCTGTTATGGGCCCTGATGGGATACACAGACAACCTCCTACTTTAGAAGCTCTAGTCCCAGATACTTTTGCTCAGCCTCCCTTGCAGCTATGCCTGGGCAGAAGGATCTGCACTCTGAGTCAGGAACTAGTGACCTCAGATAGCAAAGAGAGCTCCATCTGTTCTATAGTGTTAGTTGCAATAACCACATTCAGTTTCCAGATGCTGCAATGGCGATGGTTTCTAGCAGTGGAGACAGCAACCAGAACTGCAGCATCCTCTGTCCCAGCAGTGGTGCCCACGCAATGAGCCACTGGTGTCTTCCTGGGTTTGTTCTGTCTGTGTCACCTCTGAACCTGGGTCTCCAGTCCTCCCAGAGAACCTGTAAACTACTCAATATCCTTTAACAAATTCATTTCCTACTTAAATTAACTAGAGTTTGCTTCTGTTGCTTGCAGCCAAAACCCCTAATATAGCCATTTAAAAAAAAAAGCACGTATTTGGTTAAGAAAGGAATATGCATTTTTTTTCCTTTTTAAAAATTTTTATTTTTCTAGTCTACTTCTCCATAAGTAGCCACTACTGGTTTCTTTTTTGTTTGTTTGTTTTCACTACTGGGTTCTTATGTATTCCTCCAGAGATACTGTGTGTGCACAAGCATATTGGTGTTTTGGGGTTTTTTTTTCCTGTACTGGGATCAAACTCAGGACCTTATGCTTGCAAGGCAGGCACGGTGCTACTGAGCTAAATCCCCAGCCCCATATTAGTGCATTTAAGATAAAACATGTTAGCCTGTCTTGGTGACATACATCTGCAATCCCAGCATTCGGGAGGTTGAGGCAGGAGGACTACTTCAAGTTTGAGGCTGGCCTGAGCTATAGTGAGCTGTAGGGCAGTCTGAACTACATAGCAAGACCCTATCTCAAAAAACAAAGGAAGAAAAAAAACACTTTAAAAATCATCATGTACACAAAGGGGTCATTCCACACATATTGTTCCAAACCTTACTTTTAAACTTAATGAGTACATGTTGGAAATAATTTCATTAATACATAGCTGCCTTTTAAAAAATGGTGCTTAGTGGGCCAGGGATTTAGCTCAGTGGCACCATGCCTGCCTCGCAAGCTCAAGGTCCTGAGTTTGATCCCCGGTACCAACAACAACAAAAAATTAATATCCCTTTGAATGAGTATACTATAATGTATATAGTCAGTCTACTACTAACAGCAGCTAAGTTGCTTATAGTGTTTTGACTACAAATAATTCTGCAGTGAATATCTTTATAAATATGTCTTAATGCCCAGTGTAAGCCAATTCATAGAATAAATTTCTGGTGATGAAATTTCTGGGTCAGAGTATAACTTCTTAATTTTGACAAGTAGTACCAAACTGTGCCACAATTTTTTATACTACTGAAAATGTTTTTGACTCCCTTTTATCTGCAGATCCTGACTCTACCAGTTATATTATCAGATTTTCCTAATTTTGCATTGCTTTTATTTTTAGTCTTTAAGTTATGAGTGAGGCTGAACATTTTGTACATATATAAAAGCCATTTGTATTTATTTATCTGTGTATTCTACTTAGGCCTTTTGTTGTTTTCTGTCACATTTTGACCTCCTTTAATTACAATTGCTTTTTAAGATCTCCATATTTCAATGAAACTAAACTTTTGTCATATTTGTGGCATTTTTTTCTCAGCTTATTTTTGGTTTAGGTCCTTATTTATTTTATGTGATTTTGGTTCTTGGCTTGCATAAATCTTTTTTTTTTTTGCCTTGTATAAATCTTTAATGTCAGAGACATAAATAAATTTGCCTGTGTTTTTGCTTATTTCTTTCTATTTGCTTAGGATAGCTTTGGGTCAGGAAGCTGTGTGGTCTCAGGAGTGAAGCTGCTAATATCTAATATCTGCTAATATTAGAGTTACACTTGAGACTTCTGGTTAAAGGCAGCAGATTCAACACATATGTTGTATTCCATTTCCTCGTGGAGCTCAACTGAAATCTAATGTTCTGATTGAGTAATACATTCACATGGTATTAAAGCCAAGAAATAGAGGCACAGACCAAAAAGTTTCCCTCATCCATGTCTCCCACTGGCACAGTTCCACTTCTTCCTGTCCATAAGTAAATACTGTTACTAGCTTCTTCTGTCTTTCCAGAGTTTCTTTATACATATGTAAGAAAATAAGAATTTTTAAAAATGAATTTCTTTTTTGCTTTTCTTTTTCATGTGTGTGTGCGTGTGTGTGCGCCTGTGCACATGTATGATACTGGGGTAAACCCAGGGCCTTCACTGAGCTACTTTCCCTAGCTCTTTTTTTTTTTGGTACCAGGGATCGAACTCAGGTCCTTGCACTTGTGAGGCAGGCGGCGGAACCACTAAGCTAAATCCCTGGCCCTCCCTAGCTCTTTTTAATTTTAAGACAGGGTCTCAATAAATTGCCCCGGCTGGGTTTGAACTTGTGATCCTCCTGCTTCAGCCTCCCAGAGTCCTGGGATTACAAATTTATAACACCACATCTGGCTTAGACAAATGAATATTTTAAAGGATAAACTTACAAAGACCAAGAAATAAATACACAAGGGACAATGACAAGGTGATTTTTAAAAGTAAATCTAGGCCTGGGAATTTAGCTCAGTGGCACCACGCCTGGCCTGGCGAGCGAGGTTCTGAGTTTGATCCCTGGTAAACCGCCCCCCCAAAAAGTGGATCTCTAAGAATAAATATGTGGTAAGTGGATCAAGAGATCTGAACAAGCTGAATCCTCTAGCAGCACATGAGAAAGTAAGTGGCGAGGGAGTTAGGCGGGGGAATATTCAGAGTCCACCAGATGACGCAGCAATTGGTGACCCCAAGTACTTTTGGAAACGTGGGTGAGGTTGCAGCTAAAAATAGTACGATGAATTGGAAGTCACTTCAGGAAGCAGAGGGACCTCAGGTCTCCGCCTTCACCCCCATCCTCCTTTACCGACGAGGGCCTGGCCCTTCTCTGTGGCGTCCAAAGAATGGGGGTTTTCTTCTGTCAGGAGAGTGAGAGAGGGGGAAACAAACACTGTTCTGTGAAAGGATACTGTCCTGAAGGAAAAGAAAACAAAACAGAAAACCAAGGAGAGTCTATAGAATTACCGGGGGACATCGGAGAGCTCCTGCTTTCCGTCTTCATCTCTTCTTAGCTGCCGAACCCTGAGAGCTGGCCTGGTGGCGAAAGCAGCTTTCCCTGGGGCCTGACACTGTGGAGAGAAATGCTCTGGCACACACCTGTAATCCCAGCGCTCAGGAGGCTAAGGCAGGAGGATCTTTGAGAGGTTGAGGCCAGCTGAGGCTACACAGCAAGTTCAAGGCCAGCCTGGACTACACAGAAAGACCTTGTCTCAAAAAACAGAAAACAAACAAACAAAACATTAAATTCAATTTTAAAAAATAGATGAATGAAAGAAAAAGTTATATAAGGATATACTGAGTATGTTGGTTACAAAAAATTAAAGCATTAAAGTGCTGTAAAGTTGATTCTTTAAACTATGTACATATTTAATTTTGTATAACTAAGTAAAAATCAGTAATCTGTCTTTTTTTTTCCCGCTGCTTCATGGAAAAGGGAGGAGGTGAAATGGAAAATGTGCATTGTTCCTAGCTGATGAGGAACCTGGGAAGGTAAAAATGAAACTTTCTTGTTCCGTGAGTCCACCGACCCAGCAGGGTGATTGATTGTCTTTCCATCTCCTGTTGAGGCAGAAGAAAAAAAGATATGAGCAGCTGGGAAACTTAGATGTAAAAATTTTTAAAAGAACTGTTGATGCAAAACTGACCTGAAACCTGGGCCTCTCTTAACAGGATTTTAACTCAAAGAAAAAAAATCCAAGGTAACTACAAAGAAAGGATTCCATCAAATGCAGAACTAAAATCAGAATTATACTAAAAGGACTATTAACAGCACTTAAGTGTCAGTGGAATAAATTCTTAATTGTATCTGGATATGAATTTTTTTAAGATTTACTTTAAAATGTACACAAAATGACTGTTGTCTTAAAGAATGTAAAATACTGTATGACTATTTTGATTTGTGGTTTTTATTTTTTAAAAAAATGGAAATGCTTTGTACAATCCTTTGATCAACCATATCTACGATCAAACTTGCTTTGTTCAGATCTACGAATCTGCCACTTTCAACTGCAGGCAAAATGAGCAGGACTGAAGCTGCCTCCAGGGTAGAATCAGCCCAACTTTCTCTGTGATTGCAATCTCTACGCAATTCTTCTCCTTACTTTAGAAAAACACTCAAAAATCCAACCTAAAACTAAAAAAGAATCTCTCCCTTTAGCTGTCACCCAACTTTCTCTTCGCCTTCATCACCATACAGTAGTTCCGCCCAGAATATTTGCCAACTTCCTTCTCTTCCTTTACTTCCTCACCATGCTACTTCTGAACCCCCTTGCAATCTTGCTTTCGATTTGGCAACGGCCTTGAAAGATGTCTCGGAGATCTCAAAGGACTTCTTACTTGCTAAATCGCTTAGATCTGCTGAAGCCTCACCCTTGTCAACCTCTCAGCCTTGGGCTTTTGAAACACTTAATTTCTCTCTCTCTCTCTCTCTCTCTCTCTCTCCCTGTCTGTCTTAAACCACTGCCCCCCAGCACCACCCTTCTCTGACACTCTTCTTTCCTGTTTTTTCTCTCTTCTCTTTTTTGGCTGCCCTTTCCCCTCCTATTCTCTACAAAACAAGCATCCTCTGGGTTCCCTTGGCCCTCTGCAGGCTTTGGCATCCGCCTGTGTCTCCAACCTCTTGCGCACCCTGTTCCTCCCTTGCTCGCCGCAGTCCAGTCACACTGGTGTTTCCGTTCCTCGTGCACTGAGCTCGGTGTCACCTCAGCACCTGCCCGCTCCACTTGGAAGACTTCTCCTGCCACCTGCAAGGGCCTTTGCCCAGCTCTTCCAGCTCAGAGCTCAGGTCTCAGTGCCACATCACTTCCAGAGCGGCCCCATCAGTGACTTCCTGGGGAAGGGGCTTTCCTATCCCACCAAACTAACCTGGTTTCCCCATTTTTCTATTTTAGAAAGAGCTTTTATCCTTTGAATTACACATATGGCTTATGGTTATAGATTTTAATTGTATTGGCTTTTTTGCATAAATATCTATCTTTCTTTTCTAAACATAAGGTCCCTGAGGACAGGAACCTGTCAGATTTGTACAACACAGTGTATTTAGCACTCACCATAGTCCTCGTGACAGCAAGTAACAAATATTTGTTGAACAAAGTGCTTTCCTCGTGCCAGATGCTACACTGAGTGCTTTCCAAATGTCGCCTCATTTTTATTCTCACAGTGACCTTACGTCAGGCCCATTTTCAGATGAGGAAACTGAAACTTACAGAGGCTGAGTAATATGCCCAGGATCTCACAGAAAAATGAGTCTGAGTACCTATCGGGCCAGGAAAGGATGTGGGGAAACCTCAGATGCATACTACTAGGTGAAAAGAAGCCAATCTGAAAAAGCTACATGGCATAGAAGTCCAACTACAAGACACGCTAGAAGACGCAAAACATGGAGACGGTAAAAGGGTGAGTGTCTGCCAGGAGACAGGAGGAGGGAGGGAAGAGCAGGCAGAGCACAAAAGATATTTAGGGCGGTGGAGCTTCTCTATGATACTAGAATGGTGGACGTATGCACATCTGTCTAAGCCTGTAGGATGTATGGCCCCAGGAGTGAACCCTAATGTGAATCATGAACTTCAGATGATTCTCATGTGTCACTGTAGCTTCGTCAGTTGTAACAAATGTACCACTCCCTGGGGGGCGCTGATGTGGGGGAGACGCCGCACATGTACAGCAGTGAGTGTGTGGGAAATCTCTGTGCCTTCTGCTCAATTTTGATGTGAATTTACAACTTTTCTAAAAAATAAAATCTTTATAAGCCTGAGCATCGGAGCTAGGATTTGAGAACACGTTTGTCTAACTCTAGGTAGGACATCTTCATTATCATTTATATCAGTTTCTAGTTGACAGATCTAATAGACTCACCTTCCCAATTTGCCTTCCACTTATTTCCTGCTGTCTCTTTCTATGGTTTCTCTGGTGGCCTCCTTCCAGGGCTCATTCCAAGCCCATGATGATCTGTGGGTGGGGCACTGGGGTCATGGTGAGGGCTGGGCGGTCCCAGCAGCTTCCTCTCTGAGGAGCTCTCAGCAAACAAGCAAAGCAGGAAAACCCCGAGATGGCCAGTGTTCTGACAGCTCTCCTTCCCCTCTCTGCATGCTCTTCTCCCCTAGATTTCCGGCTGCTTCCCACCTGCTGCTCCCGCCTTGGGCCTTCTCTCCATGTCCTCATAAACACACTCTAATTCATGTCTCCAACGAAAGCTACCTGTGCTGGGAAATGTTCATCATAGGATGGTAAATTAAAAAGGCAATATTGTGTAAAGTTTTTTTATGCCCCCCCCATTCATATGATGAAGGCCTAACCCCCAAGTACCTCATAACATGACCTCGTTTGCAAATAGGATCATTGTGGATATAATTTTTCCAACGAGGATGAGGTCCGAATGGAGTAGAGTGGCCCCTACCCCATTATGACTGTCGAGCTTGTAGGAAGAATGACACGTGGCAGACAGACGTGCATGGTTGGAAATGCCACGTGAGGATGATCGAGCTCATGCAGCAGGAGGGAACGCTTGCCAGGACTTCCAGCAAATCCCCAGAAGCGAGGGGAGAGGCCAGCAGCGGATTCTCCCACACAGACCTCACGAGGAGCTGGCCCTCCAGCACTTTCAGCTCGGCTCCTGGCCCCTAGAACAGTGAGACAATAGATCCTGTTGTCGAAGTCACTCAGCTATGGTACCTGGTCAGGGAACCCTGGAAAACAAGTAGAAATAATAGAATTCCAATTTTATACGCAAAAGTACCTCATGTATTATGGGTTATTCTTTTACACACAGACACGCATGCACACACATGTACACACGGAACTAAAGGAAATACGTAAATATATGTACTTTTTTTCCTTTCGCTGGGCATGGTAATGCATGCCTGAAATCCCAGCACTCAGGAAGCTAAGGCAGGAGGATTCCAAGTTCAAGGCCAACTCAGGCTACATAGCCAGTTCAAGGACAGCCTAAACTACAAAGTGAGACTCTGTTTTAAAAAAAAAAAAAAAATCCAAGAAAAAAAATTTTTAAAAAAGCAAAATCTTGTCTCAAAAAAAAAAAAAAGGAAATATGTTTTAAAAGTTAGCATGGTAGTGCGCAACTGTAATCCTAGCACTCTGGGAGGCTGAGACAGGAAGATGGCAAGTTAGAGTCCAGCCTGGGCAATTTAGAGACTTAGTGAGATCCTGTCTCAAAATTTAAATTTTTTTTAAATATTAAAAAGGACTGGGAATGGGCCAGGGATTTAGCTCAGTGGTTCCGCCGCCTGCCTTGCAAGCAGAAGGATCTGAGTTCGATCTCTGATACCAAAAAAAAAAAAGACTGGGAATGGTAGCTCAGTGCAAAGGCCCTCTGTTCAATTCCCAGTACTGCCCCCCTGTGAAGGAAAAGGAAATAATTAAGAGTGATTCTTTTGCCCAGGTGTGTTGATGCACGCCTGTAATCCTAGCACTTGGGAGGCTGAGGCAGGAGGATCCCCATGAGTTCAAGGCCAGCCTGGGCTACACAGTGAGTTCAAGTCAGTCTGAACTACATAGCAAGATCCTGACTCAAAACACCAAAAAAGAGTGATTCTTTGTGAACATGGATAACAGGTAATTTTGGTCTGTGCTTTTCTCTGTACCTATGGCTTTTCTCAGTTCTCTTACACATCTACAGTATTATGCATTACAATATATACAACCCCTGGTCCTCCGTTTCTCACCTGTAATTTCAAACTAGCTGTTCCAATCTTCCAGCACTGTTGTAAAGATGAAAGAACCTGACCTATATCACAGGTGCACTGGTTTCCCTAGAGGAGGCAAAGCAGCTCCAAAGTCGTAAAGCAAGACACAGAGCCTGTGTTCTTCCATGCTTCACTAGGCCTCCCTGCTGCTGCGACATAGGACATGTGGATGCTCAGCAAGGCCCTCTGGGTGTGAAGGACAAACATGGAGTGCTGAGATGGCAGGAAGGATCTCGCAGTGTAGGCCAGGCTGGCCTTGAACTCGTGGCGATCCACCTGCCTCAGCTTCCCAAGTGCTGGGATCACAGGCGTGCACCATCATACCCAGCTTGGGAGATATTTCTTAGTTTGGGGTGAGGGTCTGATGGGGCAATTGAAAAGGAAAGAGAGACCAAGGTAAAGAAGAAAACGGAGCCAGAAAGCCAGACAATTCCCTCCAACAGGAAGGAAAAAAGTCCTGGTTCTCCGTTTCTTCTTTGGAAACCTCTGGGGATTGGAATGAGCAACATAGCTTACTTAGTATCATTTTCCACAGCCCTTGGGAAGATATTCTTTCCCAAGGAGGAATGTTTGCCAACTTCCCTCCTTCTGGCCCTATCTGTGGTAAGCTGCTCTTTTCTGGACATGTTTAGGTAGATGGAACCAAAACACATAACCTTGCCTCTGATTTAATAGGGAAAGTAAGAGGTCTTGAAATTCTGTATTTAATTATTTGTGACTTCATATTAACCTTTATGGAGGTCACTGATGCCCTTTACCCGCTCACTCGGTCAAAATCTACACGCCTCGAAAGCGCAAGGACCCGAGTTCGATCCCCGGTACCAAAAAAAAGGACAAACTCTTTAAGTTATAAAGAAATGTTCTCAAGTGATAGAGCAGAGTTTGTTTTGGCATTTGGTGCTGGAGGCCCAAGGTCAAGGGGCCACATCTGGTGACGGTCCTTCCTGCTCAGTGTCCTGAGGTGGGACACCTATTGCCAGTGCCAGGGGTGCATGCGTGTCTTGTCGGGTTGTTCTTTTCCCTTTCTTCCAAAGCACGGGGATTCCATAACGGGGCTCCACCCTAGTGACTTCATCTAATCCTCCCAAGGCCCCGCCTTTAAACACTGTAATCGAATTAAGCGTCCACCCTCTTAATACCTCGTAATCCAGATTAAATATCAATACATGAAGCCTGGAGATACTGAGACCATATCCAAACCACATGGATGAGAAACACTTATAATACCAAATAAGGAAAAGGACACAAAAATTGCATGCAAATTATGATTCCAACTATGTAAATATAAGTAAGTAAAACAAGAAATATAGACATACGGGGAAAATAAGACTGCTAAGAAAAAACCCAAAAAATTAATAATGGATATGGCAGAGTGCTAGATTTGTGAAATTTTTTTTCTTATTCTCTATTTCCTTAAATTTTTAGTGTAACGAAAAAAGACTTTTAAAATTAAGAAGCAGACTTGCTATGATAAGGTAAGGTGTGGAATGAATATCAAAATTTGCTAAAATAAGCAAAACAGGAAAATCCATTGTAGAAAGGTTTTACGGAAGTAAATACATGTAGCGCTCAGCTCAGTGTGCGTGAACTGATGAAGACATACGAGCACAGGACTCTTCTGGAAGGCATTTGTCACTCTTGCAGTCCACTCTGAGAATCACCAAAAAGAGCAGGAGGAGATGGGCGTTTGAGAGGAGCCAAGGGCTGGGAGTCTAGGCACAGTGAGGTCCGGGGCTGTCGAGAGAGACTGCATAGAAATTACTAAGGTTGGGAGTTTCCGGGAAATGCTTCAAGCACGGCATAGTGAACTGTGACACTGTTTATTTTTAGAAGTCCCATTGAGGGGAATGTCTTTCACCTCCCCCTAAATTAGCTATGCTCCTTGGAGCCATGGTCCTCTTTCTGTCCCAGCAGCAATAGGATCAAAGCACGTGTTTAGAAAGAGAAGTGAAAAACACCAGATGTGAGCAAAACCACAAGGGGAATTTCAGACAGGCAGCACACAGCAGATGACCCAATTTGGAATGCAGCCCAGGCCCTGGAGAGACAGAGCCTCCGTGGATGAGGCGGGACAGGCAGAGGTTATGGATCCCAAGTTAAGCCAAACTTTGCTAACTTGGTCTGTGAACTTGCTCACATCATTGACCTCCTCTAAACCACTTTTGCCATCTGTGAAATGCAAAGACTACTAATATCCTCTTAGGAATAACTAATGGCAAGCGTGCGAAGAAATTAGAGCTAAGAACAAACCTGATCGTGTGATCTTGGAGATCACTGGTAAATTGTGTTTGAGTATGGAAATACCACACCATGTACACACATGCAGTGTGCAGATCCATATTTTACAGGAAGAATGTGTATAAAAGTATGGGATTAAAGATTGTGTTGCATCATTTCACAAAGTAAATGACGTTCATGTTGACAAAAGAAGGGGTGTGACAGGACACCCCCCCCACACCCCCACCCCCGCACACAGCTCTTCAGGCCTTCTGGGGTCACAGTAAGGCAGACTGCCAAGCATTCAGTATCGAGTAAATGTTGCTACAGACTACAGCTTACTTCAAATTCCAACTCTCTTTACCACTTAGTTGCTATGTGGCCTTCGGCAGGTTGCTCTGGAGTTTTGTGCCTCCGTTTTGTGGTCTGTAAAATAGGACTAACACGACTACCTACCTCATAGACTTCTGAAGACTGAACATCAGTTAAGAGCTGAGCAGCGAGCTGAGTGGGTAATGTTAGTTGTTATCATCACCCCAAACCTTCCACATGAACTTTATGGCTCTTTGCATTTTTAAATTTTGTTTTAGTTATCTCATCCAAATGTTTCCCACATCCTTGCTCCATGTAGGAATATTTTCTGTCTGTCTTATTCATCTACGTAGGACACTGCTCCCGCTAGACTTTAAACCAACCTTACTCACTCCGAACCAAAGCCATTGATTTCTTCTTATTGATGCAAAGTTTGGGTCAAGCTGACCTCCAAGCAGAGATCTAGGAAGCATGCTAAATCCCTTGTTCTTCCATTCCTAGACATCTTACATAACAGGATGCCCTCTTAACCACAAGGGGCGTCCCACTAAAGATGAAAATGTCTGTTTTTCTTCTAATAGAAAAAAGCTTACAGCTGTGGTTTCACAATATAGGACAATATATCCCATCAGGAACCCTGGCTTGGCTGTCACTAGGAGGATGGGGAGGGTGAACTCAACCTCCCCAGAGAGAAGTCATCATCATCACTAGAGAGGAAGAGGGGTGTAGGCCTGGGTGCGGGAGGGAGGGAAATATTCTGGAATTCGTCCTCAGTCGAATGTATCCCGGAAGTGAATCTACGTGAGAACATGGGGAAAAAATAAAACTGGGAGAGCTGTCATATTTTGGATTCCAGCCCATTAGGGAATGATGGGGACAGGGAATCAGTTTCCTTAAAGTATCACTGTCAGTTGATTCTACTTTTGGCCTTCATGGTAGCAACCTTTCCCTGGACAACTTTTGATTTGGTTTTACCATCACTAGCATCATTGCTTCTCCAGAGCACTGTTGTCTTCTACCACTGCCAAGTTTGATCGTGTGAACATTGCCATCATTCTTATGTTATCATCTTCAAATTGCTTAGCTTTTTTCACCCTTCTACAACACCATTTTATGGGATGCTGTTACTATAAGGTCATTCAATTCCATAGAAAATTTTGAGCCCCCTAAGGCTAAATGCTAAGGAATACAAGGTAAGTAAAATATAATCTCTGGTCTTAAGGTGATGATAACTCACGATTAAGGCAGATTTAAATTACTACTGACATTTAATCCAGGGATGGTCTAGGTTCTCCTAATTATCTTTCCTACTGGTTTGTTTTATGCTATTCATTTGGTTTTTGAGCACCTACAATGTGCTGACCATTGAGTTAGCCTAAGAATGTAAAAACAAATAAAATAGTGCTTTTACCTTCAGAGAATAGAATTACAATGTGAAGAAATAGGTACCCGAAATATTCTCCTTTGTTCCCTATGGTTCCCTAGGGTGGATGGCAATTTCTTTCCTCTTCCAGCCATGATGTAGTGAAGTTACCATGGAGATGTATTAAATTCCTAGGTGAGTCCAACTTAACAGGCACCTGAGAAAAAGGAGAAGGACAAATCTCTCTGACAAGGGTGAGTGGCTGGTAACTCCATGTCCTGTGAACTCAAACTATGCCCCGACCCAAAGCATGTGAAATAGCTTTGGTTTGTCAGTGAATGATCTTAAACAATTGAAGGTAAATCCTATTATATAAACATTTAGCTTCCTAGTAAGAATTTGGGAATGGCTTCCTAGGGAAAATTTTTTTCTTATTGGAAGGAGCATTTAAAATGAAGCCAACTATTAGATTTCAGTTGGTGGCAGTAAAATTACTTCTTCTACCAGCAGGGTGTACAGCTGATGTAATGGTCGAATAAGGCGTGTGGTAAACCCCTCAGGGCCTCTGCCTACACGGAGACCCCAAGGAATGATTCACTGTAACAAACTAAGCCATTATCAATTCACTGTGCCCACAGAGGAGCGTAGTATTAGGAAAGGAACAGCACTATTGTATCGTATTGTACTGTATTGAACTGGATTACTAACTCAAACATAACATTTGGAATCAGATGGCCCTAAATTCAAATTCCAAGTCAGGTTCCTCTTTGCCACCTGAGTGGCCTTGGGCACTAGCCTCTCAGCTCCTGTTTTCTCTTTTCGATAATGCCGATAAATGTTCTTATCTAGGAGAGGTCCTTCCTTGTGGATTAAATAAGCTGACATGATTGAGGGCACTTAGCAAAATAGACACTCCATAAATACTCTGGCTCTTTTTTCTTTTCATTTTACAGATAAGGACCTGAGCCTGGAGGTGATCTAGCTTGTCTGCTGGCCCTCAGTTAACCAATGTCACACCTGGATTAAAGTTTCTGGCTTCCTCACTCCTGGCGTCCACTGGTCTTTATATTGTTTTTTATTTTTAATTTTTAAAATATTTTACTGTTTTGTTTCATTTTATTTTTTTAGAACTCGGACCTGTAGCCAGGTCGGGTGGCACCTGCTTGTAATTCCAGCACTCTGGGAAACTGAAGCAGGAAGATCTCAAATTTGAGCACAGACTAGGAAATTTAGCAAGTTAGCAAGACTGTCTCAAAATAAAACATTAAGAAAAGGCCCAGGGCTGTAGTTCAGTGGAAAGACTCTGGAGTCAATCCCCAGTACCAGAAAAAGAAAAGACTGGCTGCTATAGTGGAGATGGCTGAACATGCATTTATCTAAGGTCTTCTCAAGCTGGAGGGGATGAACTAAGAAGAGGAGGGAGGCTGGCAGGGAGCGAGAAGTGTCAGAGGCAGATTTGCTTTCCTGCTTTGCATTATTCAGCCTGAGCACACACCCACTAAGGGTGGAGGGAAGCGGCTGAGCATTGCCAACATGGGATTACAACTGTGTCACATCAATCCGCAGAGTAAATAACCCACATGTCCACTACCAAAGCTGGTGTGACAGCAAATTGTTTTTCTCACATATGGCTTTTCAGGTCTCCTAGGGTCACCCCAGATCTGATTTTCCGGCAGGCCCTATAGAAGCCTTTTCACTGAAGCTCTGAATTTGCTAACGTGCGAATTAAACGCAAATTAAAAGGAAAATGCAAGAAAAGTCACTTCCAAATTACTTCAGTGTGGGATGGGTCTGCTCCACGTGGATAAGAGAGCCCTGGGCCAGATGGATGCCTGGTTGTTTCTTGGCACTAGCTCAAGGGACCAATAGGGATTAACTTGTCTGGGCATCTCTTTTGTCACCCATAAAATACCAACGAGTAGTCCCTTGCCAAATATTGAATGCAAGACGCTGGCCACATTTCATTTCCCTTTCTCAGAACTGCACGAGGCAGCTAGCAGTCCTCTTCATTACAGGTAGAGACTCAGAGACTTAGAGATGGTGTGACTGGCCCGCCGTTGCTCAGCTGAGTGCCAGATTCTGATAGAACCTGGACTGCTCGGAATCAGTGTGTGCACTTCACTTCCAGGTTATACCACCTGATACTGCGAGGAGGAAGTGGATGTTGAAGCTGAGGGTACATTTTTTTTTTTTAATTCGAGGTACTTTAAAGGAGCTTAAAGGTTTATGGTGATCATTCATGTGCATGTGCTTGGGTCACCTTCAGCTCACCGACTTTCTTATTCATTGCTTCTTGTTTGGTCTGTGCCCATCAAAACACAGTTATGCCCTTTTCGCCTCATCTGTTGTTGGTGTCAGTTCTCCTCCCGCATTTGGCTGCTTTCAGGGGGACCCAGCAAGTGATGTTTATTGTAAGTATGGGAGTGTCAGTGTAGGGAGGGACTCTCGCACCACCAACACAAACACATCAACACACACACGTGCCCACAGACTCACATGCGTGTTAGTCTGTTACTCCGATATGTAGATTCAGAAATCAACTCTTGACCAGGATGTCATGCTTATGACAGTACCTATATCACTATAAATAATTTCCCAGAGTTAGAGTTTGGAGTGGGAAAATGGTGACAAAGTGTTGGAAAGTGGACAGATATGTCCTAAGGAGAATATCAAGAGGTGCAAAGCCCTCTGGTTCAGCCGCAGCCTTGACTTCTGCTATGAGTTTGTGCTGCACCTTGCCCTTGGTAGACAAGGAGTTTGAGATGAACTCAGGTTTTCCTCCTGAGTGGATTCTGAGCTTTCCCGCTCTTATCTGCGTGACAGTGGGAATCATCACACTGAATCTCTGTAGGTTCAGAGTCAGATGTGTGAAGTGTCCCTTCCTGGGTTTGGCACTGCATGCCATTAGCTCCGTGTGGCGATAATAACATTTTTCATTCTTGCTACTGCTTCTTACTTGATTGTTTAGGAGATGGACAAAAGATTTTGAGACTCATCCTGTTATGTGTATCTCACGACTGTTGTGGTATTTAACACTCAAATGTATTCATTAAATGCATATTTGGGAAACACTGTGGTAATATTGTTTCATTTTCTGGATTACCCTGGGAGGGTTACAAAGCACGTCTATGATGAATTTCACACCTAGACCTCCCAAGAATCCTTAGAGAAGGGTCGGAAATCCTTGAGAATTGCATGTGATAAACAACAAAAGGCACCTAGCCTTGGGCTCTGGCACAGAGCGAGCATTCATCAGATGTTGCTGTGAGCGCGCTCATCGACCCATATAGCCCAAGAGAAACCACAAGTCAGAGAAGCTAAGTCTCTCGCTAAGGCCGCACGGTGAAATAGTAGAATTCAGCTCTGAATCCCAGCTTCCAGGCTCCAGACAGTTGTAAGAAATTATCCTTTGAGGGCCGGGGATTTAGCTCAGTGGTTCCGCCGCCTGCCTCAAAAGCACAAGGACCTGAGTTCAATCCCCGGTACCAAAAAACCCAAAAAAACCAAGAAATTATCTGTTGAGGTTGCAATCTTGGAAGGAAAAAGGCAGAGCCTCACAGGAAGAGTAACATGACAGGTTTTATGGTGGGTGAGTAGGCAAAAGTGTTCAGGGACAAAGCAGAGCTCAAGGGACAGGGTGAGGCCCAGCCACGCACCGCACCAGCTGTATTATTCATTTCTGGTTCCTCAAATGTCTCCCCTCAGCACCTTCACAGGTAATGTTGCCCTCTCTCATCTTATCTGTCTTCTCCCGATTCCCCACCTCTCCCTCTGAATAATGCTCATGCTGTGGGCTTAACCCCAACACCTCTTCAAGGACACTGAGCCTCCATCCGCACCTACTGACACAGGTGCTCTTGGCTTTCTGAGCATCTCTTTTCAAGCCTCCTGCTGACCCATGAAAGGTGGCTGACAAGCAGGTGCTTCTCCCAAACGTCCTCTTGTTTAGTCTGCTGCCCTTTGCTAGGAAGAGGTGCAGAAGCCCTGCCGGCCCGTGGAGTCCGGCCACCGGAGCAGTCCAGGAGTATAGCCACAAACACTCGGAGAGGTGGAGAGAGGGAGCAGGGGCTTCCACCAGGTTGATATAATTCTGACTCTGCCCCTTGGACAGTGAAGGGTGCCAGTTTTGGGACTTTTGGCAGGAAGCAGCCACCCTTGGGGGAGTCAGAATCATGCTGGTAGGTGAGAGCAGTTCTGGCTCCCCACATTCTGTCTGGAGCCCGGGGAGCAACGCCTGGGTGATCTCCTTCGTGCTTCCTCCTGGTTAGGGCAGTGCCGAGGGAGGAGGAGATGCCCAAGCTTCAGCAGGGGCCATACTGTTTACATTCCCACTCCCTCACTCTGGGAAGCCCCGAGTTCCCACACTCACTGAGGCAGGAAGGTCACCATGGACATCTCATCTGTCTGGACTGTTGACTAACTACAGATAAGCAGCAGCTGCCACCTCCAAGTCAGGATCACCTTCCAGATTGCCCACTCTGGACCCAGGGGGAGAAGCCCGAGTCCCCACCCTTGGGCACAGGACTGATGTCTAGTGTGCATGTGGAGACCACGTGGAGCCCGGGAGAGTCTGCTTTTGCAGGAAACACGGGACATGGCCAAGGAATTGAGAGCCACGCCTTCCTGACAGCTCCCAACCTTGCAGTTGCTGACACTCTGCAGTTCTAGGGCGCTTTGCTGCATGTCTTTTCTCACATGACCCTGACCACCATCCGTGAAGATTGCAGAGCAGGTGTTTTTGGTGTCCATTTCGCAGATGAGTAAACAGCCTCAGGATGTTTGAGAGCCTTGCCCAGATTTGCACAGCTAGTTAGTGGTAAAGGTTGGTTTTCTGCCTCCTGTTCAGCAGGTCTTTCCATTAACCCCCTGCAGCCACACCAAGCCAAGGAATGTGTCCCAATTTTTAACCCCTGAAAGAGATCTCTTTCTCCCAGGTTTAGCCTGTAACCCATCAAAGCCTGGCTTGTAGTGAGAAGCATTTAGGCTTAGAACTTGAATCTTGATTCTTCCTCTTGCCAGCCAAATGATTTAGCAGTGCTATCATTTTAGGCTTGATCTTCCTGAATATTTGCTTTTACATGTAGAAAACGCAGGTGACATTGCCTGACATGCCATTGTGTTGTTGTAAGTGTTAAAAATAACAGCAAGTATCTTATTGGCTGTTTTCCACATCCTGGGCTCGGTTTTAAGCACCTTACATGCATCGATTCATTGAATTCTCACAACAACCTTATGTTCTTCAGTCTAGGCTGTCATTATTTCATTGCACAGGTAGAAAACAGAGAACTAGAGAAACTTATCCCAGGTTACACAGCAAGCAAATAGGGCAGTCAGGAGTTCAACCCAGGTGGACTCCAGAGAGAAGTGCTTTATCTCCATGCCATATTGGCTATGCACATTGGGTTTGCTCTCTACTATAGGTACTCAATCAATAGCTGTTACTAAGAATTGGAACAGGCTTGGGTTAATTTATAAGTAAAGCAAGCAGCTAACTACCTGGATCAAGTCAAAAGGCACAACTATTCAAAAATATCTTCAATTTATTATGACACAGAATCAAATTTCTTACCACCAGCTCTGTTTCTTTAGGGTAGGAAGTCACTCACAGACTTTTGTCAGTGATTGGAGACATATTTGATGGTCACAGCAATGAGGGTTCTACTGGCATCTAATGGGTCAGGCCAGGAATGCTGCAAAACATCCTACAATGCCCAGGACCGTCCCTCAACAAATGTTAATATGACCCAAAATGTTGATATGCTGAGGTTTTTAATTTGCTTTAATACTGAGTACTTAGTAATGAATTGAGACTTCAGTCTTGAGGAGCACTGGTTGTTTTTGTTTGTTTGTTTTTTGGTACCAGGAATCGAACTTGGTCTCATGTTTGCCAGGCAGGTGCTACGCCCCTGAGCTACATCCCTGGCCTGAGGAGCACTATTAATACCCAACTTTGTCACAGAGAATGGCAAAGCAATGCCCTGTTTAACACTGATCTATTGATACACTGACACAGTTCAATATATGCGATCATTTGTTTTACTGACTGTTGATGCAGCAGCTGACATTACCAAGCAAAGGAGATGTGTGCCCTAGAAATGGCCTGGCTGAGTTAGGGCTTGTGGTAGAGTTACAAAATAGAAGCTGTTTTTCTGCCAAATTGTGTTACCATGCCCCAAATTGCTGACATTTCTTCCAATATGTTGAAGTA